CATTGTATTGTGTATATTTGATGTATACAGTGCATATATGTACATTTATCATTTGATATAATATATATATATAGACAAAGTTGAAAACTGGCCTGTACGAAGGGCTAGACATTGAATGTATTTTTTGAATCGTCATAACTAGTACTTTTCAACATATGAACAGCGCCTTCGCCTACAAGATATACCAGTCTAATACATCAGGCCAATACTTTGTTTTGATCTGTTTAAATACAGGTGCTATCATTTTTGTGCAATATATCAGTGTATGTGTTATAAGTTGGTCTATGCCCAGTACTTTGCACGACCTATTGGAGACTTTTGTTCATGGACATGATCATACCTGTCCTACAATGTTAGTATTTCGTATGGAATGAATACAGTAGCGGATGTTGCGCGTGGATCTGTTGCCAATATTTTCATAATCACTGCGCATGTCTAAATTGGCATTGACTGTTAAAGTACTACTCGCCTTTGCAGAGTGCCTCAAACTCGGGTGTATGCATCAGATATATATAAGCAGACCTCTAGAGTCGGGCAACTTTCAGCCAAAGTCAGTACTGGCGAAACGAAACACGAGACAGAATGGGAGAGAGTGAACACTGCTACACAGCTTTGGAAGCACAAGACTTCTGCTCGTGCCATTCAAGTGCGTCCGACGGCCTATCAATACAATCGATCCATTGCTGCATTCGCCGTGGATTTTTCTCTGGTGTACTTAACTTATAAGGAGATGCTAAAAAATGGTGCTAAACCGAGTGCAGTGGCTTATAATACTGTGGTCGCTAGTTGTGCGAAAGCAGGCGAACTCGGTGACGCGTTGGATGTGTTGAAAGAATTGACAAGTGCCGGGTGTGATCCACATGTTACAACATGCACATCTCTCATATCTGCTTTCGGACGGAAGGGCCAGTGGGAAGAAGCTGTCAATCTGTTCCATGACATGGAACGTGCAGGTGTTGTACGCGATACGGTTAACTATAATGCTACTATTTCAGCATGCGATAAGGGATATCAGTGGCAAAAAGCCTTGGATCTGTTTTATGAGATGGAAGCCAAGGGTATCAAACGCAATACGACTACCTATAGTTCCACTATATCTGCATGCGAGAAAGGACATCAGCTGAGACTG